GGGAGTACTGCTCTGCCACTCCACACGGCTCTGAGAGCTGGGGGGAGGGCCCACCGCCACAAGTCCAGCAGTGCTAAGACCTGACACCCTGCCCCTTCTGGGGGCATGGAGCCAGCCCCCCACACCTTCCCTCCAGGCCCACAGTGGTGGCCAGCCCCACTGGGAAATTGGCACCAAGATCTGTACTTCTGATCATTCAAAGCCACTGTCTTACTTATCTTTGAGAACTACTGATGAAGAGCATTGTATTTTGTATCATCTCACATATGGGGCAGCTAGGACATACAGAGTTTAGCTGATTTGCTCTTGCAGCAAGACAGTGGCAAAACTGGGGCAGAATCCAGGTCCTCTGACTCCTATCAGTGTGGTTGTCCGCTTAGCCATTCTGTTTCTTTGGCAATACACATCTCAGTAGCCAGAGCAATGTGCACCTGCTCTGGGAAGGAAATGTCAGCTGCTTCCCTCAGACAGAAGGTGTTTCTCATTGTTTCCTGATACCTTTCCCCTGGCTGAGTTACTGATTATCTCTGTCTGACCTTGAAGCAGTCAGAGAAGTAAAGCTGGACCACGTCCACTGAGGCACATTAAGGTTGATCAGGATGCCAGGCCTGTCTGGGAATTTACTTACCCTAGTTGGAGGAAAGGGTGAGGGTGGGTCTGGTTGCCGTGAAATCTTTGGTGTCAGAGTCTCTAGGCTGGAGGCAGAGAGACTCCCCACTCAGCTGTTTTGTTCCTCCACAACAACCAGGGCAGTGAAACTTTTGAAGCTGGTAGTTCCCGACTTCTTCACAATCACACACCTTCCCAATGGCAAAGAGGCTGCATGGTTGTTTGGGAACAATAGGAAAACAAGTTTGTTTTAGTGGGGTGTGATATGGTTACACTCCTACTCTCTGTAATGTTGATTTCCAGTCTCCAGGTATAGGCCTTTACACATGGTACTGGTGACTGTCCCACAACCGTAGCCTCCACAACTCTTCAGGAGTCACAGACTCACATTCCATCTAAATTACATTAAAATAGAGTCACGCCATGTTGCTAGGAGAAGACCCTGTCCTAATGGCACCCAGGTCACCAGATAAAGAAAAAGATCTCAAGCTGGGTAAAGAAAAACTTAGTTTAACAGCATTTCATCTGGCAAGAAACTGTTTATCAATAGTTGAGGTTTTGGAATCCTCATTCTATGATTACGGTCCTCACTTTCCTACTGTTTGTCTGTATGATCTCGGTCTAGTTTTCAATTGTTTCTGTCTGCTGCATAATTAACTTTGCTAGCTGCAAATCAACTAAGGTGGTGGGGTATAATTGGTTAGGTAATTCTGTTACAGAATACAGGCCCATTCACGGGCCAAAGCACCCCCTTATAATTTCCAAGTGAGCATGCTCTGGCCAGCCAGGGGAAGACAGGAGCGGCATGCTGCCCAAGCCTCCTTCCCCCATGCTCTGGCTGGCCAGCTGGGGAAAGGCTGGGCTGACTTTCCCGCTTAGTTGGGGGACCACGGGCAGTGTTCCCTCTAAGCCGCACAGCTTCACAGGTGATTAATCAGCCCCACCCAATCAATCAGCTCCATGCACTGAGCCCCTGACTGGGCAGGGCTAATTAATCACCCTTGAAGCTGTGCTGCAGTGCAACTTAGAGGGAACACTGACCGTGGCGGGTGCATTCATACCCTTGCGGTCCACATTTACAAAAGATGCACCCTGCCCCCCAGAAATTCCTGTATCCGGGCTTAGTGTGTTATGATATGATTGGTTAGTAAAATTATCCTCTCCATGGAAATCTTTAGTAAAAAATGAAAGATTTATGCAATCTGACAAGAAATCAGAGTATATAATAAAACCAGAGTATAAAATAAAATAAAAAATTGGTTAAGGAATAGCCAAGCAGGACTCAAGTTTCACTATATAAACTGGGGTCCAAGGAGACCAGCATGAAAGGAAAAGGGAAAGAAAATGAGAGGAAAGGAAGAGCAAGAAGGTGGTGTAGGAAAGACCTGGAAAACGAACTCGCCTCCAAGACAGAGACTAAGACCAGAGCTTCCAGAACTCCTCCACACAACTGTGACGTGCAGCAATCAGGATCCAGAGAGACTGACCTTGCCTGGCCAACAGGGGAAGTCTGCCTGCCTTTATCAGGATTGGTGAGCATGACACTGTGTGCTTAGCATGTGTATTCTGTTTGCTTGGTAATTATCAATAGAAAATAAGGATATTACTGTGTAAGGCTCTTTCAATGGTGAAAGATCCTGCAGACCCGCAGGAAGTTACACCCTGAGCCCTAGGAACTGGGTAAGGGTGAGTGTCTCTAGTGTGTGTGAATAATAAAGAAATCTGTGCGGGTAACACTGGGGCTCTAGCCACCACTGCTGCTGCAGCAGTAGCCAGGAGCTTTAGTCCTCTCTGAAATGCCAGGCCTCTGTGTAATTGCTCCCTTGGTCCCCTATTTCCACTGGACCATAAATTATGTCATTTGATTAGTTCTCTCTCAAAGCATGCTCTCTGCACATCAGCAGACACACACACAAATATTTACATGTCCACACTTTTCTTATGGGAATGCAGCTTGTATACATGTGAGCTGGATAAGATTTCTTGGCTGTTTCTGCACCACCTTCCTTTGCGTCTCACTTCTTCATTATCCGGGACAGAAGAAAGGTCACATGGCTCAAAGGCAGTGCCTGTGAATTACACAGTGTTCTTTAAAATCTAGTTTTTAAATCCTTCCTGGTAGTAAGAAGTCCTGCAGAATGTAAATCACTACACTACCACCTTAATGAGCTGTTCTGGAAAAAAATCACAAAAATGGATCAGTCAAAAAAAAATTGACTATCACTAAAATAAGCATTTCAGGCCTTATCTATGGAGTTCATTGGGAGTTTTGCCCAGGTAAAGACTGTGAAACTTAAAGCTCATCTTTCGTATGCCACGAAGATCCATCTACTGGAAGAAATTCTAAGTTCACTTTGCAAGAACCACGCTCTTCTAATTCCTGCATTTATCATCCCTGATTATGGGGAATTCATATACTAATCCAGTTCTTTAAGAATCTTTTACAAAGCTAAATCTGACAGAAGGACAAACTTGAATATTATTATATAAATAATTCTGTAAACAGGCACTGTATATATCAAACAAAAAATACCCAGAGGGAATTATGTCTTTTACAAGCTGTTGTGATAATTAGTTTAAAAGCAAATGTGGCAACCACAATCATTCAAAAGCAAAATAATTATATTATTATATATGTCTGTCTGCACCCCTGCCTGCAGTTAAAGTTCTTTGTACAAGATCTCTAAAAATCTTAATTCATTACAGGTCATTTAGTTATAGTGTCATTAAAATATTAAAGTTTAAATTATTTTTGCTAAAGCAATGTGTTTGCGGATTAAAATGTAAACACATATTTGTACACTTAAAAAAAAATCAAAGAAATTTCACCAAATAGTTTTGCTTAATGAATCCATTTGTAATCTGTAATGTCAACACAGATTTTAAGAAATAATATGATTTACAAAAGAATATTTATGTAAAACCATTTTAATGGTTAATATATTTATACAAACAATATAGAAACAGGTTGTTCAAAACCATCAGCATATCTTTGTGACATACCAAGAATTGCTATCAAAATTACTGATTTCAAAGTTGCTTACAAAACAGAGCAACTACAAAAGCTATTTTTCAAAAAAAATCCTGTATGAATGCAAATGCAACACAGAAACCAAAATACTGCGTGAAAAAAAGAGTTTACTGCAAACCACAAGACTGTCTAGCAAACAATTAACCAATATATTCTTGTCAATGCATAATGTATAGTTGATAGTTTAAGGTATGTTTTTAATAACCACTTATTAGACTTCATATACACAAATAAACTAGACTATCACATTTTGTTCTCAATTCCAATTTTTATTTAGAATTAAAATTTATAGTTTAAAAATTATAAACATTCTGTATAAAAGTTTAAAAAAATACATTGATTTATTGATAAATGTGTCAGGTTAAATTTACATTTTAAAACAATGTTGTATTGCATATTTTAACATTTATAGCAAAAATAAATTAATGAGAATGAAGAAATCATTTGAAACCATGCTAAGATATTCCTTTAGAAAAAGGTGATAAAATTGTACCCTTAATTCTCAATGCCATTCTACCATAAATAAATAACTATAAAACCTGGCAATATATAGAAGTATGTATTAGCTTAAACGCACTTACCATAGGACAATAGGAAAAATATGGAAGGATGCTCGCATACTGAAAAGAAATAAGAAAATTAAATCTAATAATGCCAATTGGTGAACACTGGATTTTTGGATTCCCAGTAAAAATGCTGTGGCCTATAAATGTTAAACCCATGGGTTTATGCACTTTTTGCTTTCTATGGTATAACAAAGCTGGCTTGGGTTTTTTTTTTAAGTTAACAAAAATATTTCCCCTGGTTTTTTACTGTAAAAATTCAGTTATCTTCCACAAAAGACTCTGTGGAGGATGGGAGGTATGTTTGCATTAATTATAAGATCACATACAACAAGGAAATGAAATCTGAGGAAGGATGTGATTTTCATTATGTTTAAACCTCTGGATTTTGTTTGTTTTGATCATCACTTATTTAACTAAAACACTTAGGGTATGTCTAGACTACATGGCTCCGTCAACAGAGTCATGTAGATGAGTTTACTAGAGATAGGAAAATGAAGCGGCGATTTAAATAATCGCTGCTTCATTTACATCAAATTGGCCACCACGCTGTGCCGATCAGCTGTTTGGCAGCACAGCACGGTAGTCTGGATACTCCACACTTGACAACGGAAGCCTTTGTCGACCGCTCTGGTAAACCTCATTCTACAAGGCATAACGGAGCGGTCGACAAAGGCTTCCATTGTAGACCACGGAGCGTCCAGACTACCGTGCTGTGCAACCAAACAGCTGATCGGCCCAGCCCGGCAGCCATTTTGATGTAAATGAAGTGGTGATTATTTAAATTGCCACTTCATTTTCCTATCTTTAGTAAACTCATCTACATGGCTCCGTCGATGGAGCCATGTAGTCTAGACATACCCTTAAAGGCAAGGGAAGGAACTGCCTTACATAGATATTTATAATCTCTGACCCTTTAAATAAGGGCTGAGAAAGTTCCCAATGAGCATGAGTCATGCTATATGACCTCCAAAAGGTAAAGATTTAATAGTCTGCTATTTCTAAGGTAAAGAAAAAGCACCCCCCAACAAAAGAATTAAAACCCAAAAAGCCTTCCAGATAGTCTTTGTAAGTCAGAAAGGATTAAAAAAAATAGCACAATTCTTTCCATCCTCCCTCTTTGCTTGAAGGGCACCTTTAAAGGGAATAGACAGATTCAGTGGAAACATTTAAGAAATGCTGGAATACTTCTTAAAACTAAACTGGATGGTTTCTTAATGCAAGTTAATAGTCAACAGCTGTGAACTGAGGCATAACATTTGACACATAAGGTCATTTATATAAATCATTCACTATGTCCTCGCAGCACACATATCTGTGCATAAAATCAAGTGCTACATTGCTCAAGCAAATCTTTATTTTGGCATCACAATATGGATCCCTTTAGAAATGGTGTCCTCTTCTAATTCAAATTTCCCACCTTGCAATATAACTATCCACACACACATATCCTCAATCATGTCTTCAGATATATGCAAACAAGGTTAGAAAAATATTTAATTTTTGTAGGTTTAAATAATTATTGAAAGATGTTAATACAAGAATGCAATAATATTCTGTACAATTAAACTTTTATATGCGTATAAAAAGCATTTTTTTTTCATAGCAGCCTTTGAGTTGAAAATGAAAAGGTGACACACATGGTAGAATGAGATCAACCTAAAGTTCATGCTGCTAATCACAGGCCGAGATCCTCTACTAAGAGAAACATCCGTACCAGGTATAAAGTTTTAGGAAGGAAGAGAGCAAAGATTGCACCTTAGCTCCTGGCACACAATGTCCAAGCTTTGTAAGTGCATCGTACCTTGAGGTGGCGAGTGGGTGAGAGAATCACTGCTTCTTCAGATCATTTCACATGGTTTTAAAGGCCATGTAAGATGCTGAGAGTGAGGCCAATGTATTTGTCTAATGGGAAGGAAAACAATCCACAATAAAGGAATGGCTACATTGGACTTCTTTATTCAAGGGAGGCCACAGATTATTCCACAATACATTAAAAAAAGCCAGAGTGACTTTTTTTTGGAGAAGGCAGGTGAAGTAACAGGGAGACACCAACTGCAGGCATCAGGCAAGGAAATTAATAAGTGATATTTAGTTTGTTTTTGTTGAGTTCTCGCTCCAAGTTTCCTATCAGAGTATCAATACTTTCTTGTAGGTCTTTGAGATTTCCTCTGTGGTCCACTGCTGAATCTATTGTTTGCATTGTCAAATAGGTCTGAAGTGTATGCTCTTTGGATTTTGCATGTTCAATAAGTCTATCTGGTCCATCTACTTTGCTGCAATCTTCTCCACTTTCTGTGTCTTCTGAAGGAACATCATCATAGTCTGCTTCATTTAGGGTCTCCTTTGGGTTTAAAAAATAGTTTTCCCCACAACTGCTCCAGTCTCCTGCATAGCGATTACTTGAGGGACTGTCTAGTCTGGCTGGTCTGGGCCTAAGTACCCCCGACAGTTCAGTACTGCTCAAATTCAACATCTGAGGCCGCTGCTTCTTGGGTCTCAGATAATTCAAAGATGACTGGTTCCCTGGAAACAGGTTTGCTGATTCTTTGGAAGTTGAACATTGCACTAGAACAAAGAAGAAGTTTAATGAAAATCATAACAATCATAGTGTTTTGCAGAGACTAGCAATGCAAGGTTGTCCTTTTATTTTACTCTGCATTACAGAGTCAAAACATGCATTAATACATGCAAACTTATGGCCAACACATTCCACTATTGTTTTTTTCCTATTGTCTGACATCACTTTTCAATTAGAAGGAAAATCTAATGGAAAGCACAGTTTTGAAGATTCATGCTATATTTAATCTGCAACTGAAAAGCCTATTTGAAAACAAAAAACTTCCAGAGCATTGATAGCTATAATAAAATAATAATAAAATGAAGGCAAACTGCTTAGCTCACAGGACACTTCCAAACTAATAAAAGCAGGCATAGCATATAGAGCAAGGGTGGGGAACCTTTTTAGGGTTGGGGGCCGCCAACCCACAGAAAAAAAATCAGTCGGGGGCTGCACACAAGTGAGAAGCAAAAACAACAACAAACTAACACAAAAAGCCCTCACTGACATGGCCCCCAGCTGAGAAAGAGAGACTGCCCATGTTCTCCAACACCAGAGCCTAGGGGGGCACAGGCTAGTGGATTCTATGTGCTCCTCCTCTGCAGGAGGATGGTGTGAGGAGGGTGATGGAGCGCCAGCACAGGCTCCCTAATGGTAGGGGGGAGCCCCGAGCCTCAGATCCAGGCAGGCAAGAGGCCACATGTTCCCCCACCCCTGGTAAAGAGGTTAAAAAACAATACAAATGTCTGAGAAACACCTAAAGAAACTGAAGGAACATCAGAGTTGAACTCTTGCATTTCTCTTTTGTCCCAAGTTTTATGCACTGTCAACAGAAGCTCTTTTGTATTAATTTATCTAAGCAGCCATAACTCCATGTCCAAGATAAAATACACTCAAAAAGGTTTGATGTTTGTTACCTGAACTCATGATTACACAGCATAAGTTACTAAGACGACTCCTCTGTTATCAGCTTCCTACAGTAAACAGTACAGATACTTTTACTGACCCATGCCTCCTAAATATCTGAATGTCTTACTGCTGCACAGTGGACTATTACCGCTTGAAATTTAACAAGCAGGTTATGCATTCTCTTTCACTGCTAGAAAGGCCTTGTACATAAATACCTAGAAATCAGGAAGATCCAGATTCAGTTCTCTTTTTAGTAAATTTCATAAAATGCTCAGTCCTGGGAGGTCTTGAATGCTCTCCCTAGCCCCATATAACTGGTCTCTACGTAAGAATTAGCCTCCTTTTAGGTATCACCACAGTAATCACCGAGACCTTTCTTAGCTTTTTGTTTTCTTTTACATTAACAGAAGTTTCTCTGTTTGGACTATGCTCCATTAAGATGAAGGGCTCATGGGTTAACAATAACTTGCCAGTTTTGCCCTATCCCACAGAACAAGGACCATTTGTTTTCGCTTGGAAAAATGAGGAAATTGAAGTATTGCACAACAACAGGATTAACATCAGATTTGCTAAATCCACGGGCAAACTATGTTTAATAGACTGTGATTTTACTTCTTGAATCAGAATGTTTTTACCCTCAGAATAATGATTAACATTTAAGCATTCATATTTTACTGTAATTCCACTGTGGTCATTGTTCTGCATAGTTCTTGTAAACCAAAAGGTACGGTACAGTATTGGTCTACACACTTATTTCAGAATGGTGGAAACACTTCTCTACTTATGGCATGTTTTGCCTGCTTACCAATATTGCATGAGCCCATCTAAAAGGATATCTTTAGCTACTCTAATTTCCCAGAAGAAACAATCATGCTGGGAACTAAACAAGCAACTTGTTTAAATCACTCCTTAATTGGCAAGTAGAAATACAACCCATGTTTTCATTTCTGTAGGCTGAATTAGCCAAACCTATAGCAGGCAGCTTCATGTCAATGTCTGTTTAGTCTTTATGTTAAAGAAGAGACCCAGTGTAACAGTTGCACATTTGTTACATCCTGAAGGAACAGGAATCCAGGCCCTTCAAGCATGGAGGGGGAGCCATGACATGATTCCTGTCAGACCAGAATATGGAAGACCAAAAGCAGCTGTTCTAGCTCTTCTGATGGGAACTCCCCACAGGGCTTTTGACAGGCTTCACAGGATTGAGGAGACACAGAAGCAATCCTGGCTCCCCAGAAAGTGCTGGTGTAATGGCTGAGAATACCTGACTAGCAATTGAGCATTAGAAATCTCAGAATCCAAAACAAAACACCCCAAACCAAACAGATGATAGTTTGCATACTTCTTCTGGGTTATTCGTCCTCTACACAATTTAAATGTCCTAATAAACTCATAATTTCTAGTGCCAGGATCTAAAGTGTAAGCAGGTGGTCACAGATCAGTACTGCAGCTGTGGTAGACTTTAAAATAGCATTAGCCTCAGGTGCAGAGTGATTTTGTGCCAGACATCTTTGGCAGCAGCAGCACCACCAATTCTAGCCATATTCGCAGGGTGGAAACCATTGCTTAAGATAGTGATAAAGAAGTATGCATGAAGGCTGAGTCACCACTTGTCCCACAATATTATTTATACCGATCAGTGTCTAATGTAGCACAATAAACCTTTGAGGCACATCTTTAAAATACTATTCCATGGTTGTTCAGAAACTGGGCATTTGTGTGTGCATTGATAACTGCAATAATTCAAATGGGCCTGCAGAAGATTCTTGTGTTTCCCTCTACTTATTTTTCTCATCCTATGCCTTGCATTTATTTCACAGCTCCACCCAAAGACTGATTACACCTTCTCAAGCTATTCTCTTACTTCAATAATTCTAAAAATTCAACAGATAATATCCAGAGCTTCTAGCTAGATAAAGCAACACCCATTTTGAGATCTCCCCCCAGGAAAATAAGCCAAGAAACTGACCCATTTTGAGATCTCCCCCCAGGAAAATAAGCCAAGGTACTCCTTCTTAAAAACAAGATTAACATTTAAAATTTTGATTTCAGATGCCTTTACTTCAAACTATATTATTAGTAAATATGTGATCTTAAAAACAAAAAACAAAAACAAAAAAACCCCCACATTTTTGAAGTTCACCGTTACTCCCACTTAAACTGTAATAAACTGCAGACTGCATTCAGTATGCATACACCTGGCTTGCACTTTCTCTGCTAATCTAACCCATCACCTTACTTCCAAAAGAGAAACACTCCAAAATCTAAAACAGTTTCAAACGGCCATTAACATTTATTTATTTCATTCTCACAAAACTTGCCAGAAAAATGTTTAATTATTTCCCTCACACAGTCCTTTCTACTGTTTTCTGGAATTAAATGCTTTCAGAATCATCCAGTGAGAAATTGGGTCTCTCTCTGTTCTAAATTTTTTGCAGATAGAAAGACCTGGAGAATAACTGTTATACATCATGGGAAATGTGGCACTTCCCTGTTTTCTAACTGGTACACCATTTTTAGTTTACCCCAACCAAATGATGGATATCAACCTTAAATTCAGTTGTGACATTATGATGTACAGAAAAACTATTTTAGATAAGTTCTAAGGTTTTGTAATAATTTCCTCTCCTTTCTGCTCTTTTATTATGACTCTTGGTATTAATATTAACACTTCTTTTCTTAAACTGATTTTCTGTAATAAGCATGGCATACACAGACTTCATCACTTGCCATCCCAAACACATGCCACAACATACCCTCATACACTTACTATATATCTGCTGTTAACTATTACAAAAAGATACTGAAAAAATCTCAGTTGTCTCAAACTCCACTTTATAACTATGACACAGCAATAGCTGATCTTGTTTCGGTGGATTACTGCAGTGTTTTCATAAAGATCCAGTTCAATAGCTAGCTACTGAAGAGAGAAGAAAGGGGAAAGTACAAAAGTAATTCTCAAGGGGCCTAATCCAACACCCAGCACAGTTTGTACAAGTCTTTCCATTGATTACAATGGGCTTTGATCAGATCTCTGAACCCCTTAGGAAATGAGATATTAGCATCTTTCTGCCTGGAGCACAGAACCGGAGTGGAACCTTCACTTGCATTCTGGCAGGTTCAATAAAAATATTAGCGTTTCCCTTCCCTTTCATTAGAGCCTGTTCCCATGGGCTGCTAAGCATATGAAACCCCCCAGTGAAGTGAATGGGATTTATGGGTGCTATGCACCTCTCAAAAACTGGCTCATTACCTATTTTTCTAAAGCTTTCTACTACACAGGTATACAGATGGAGTCTCAAATCCATATTGAAGCTTCTAGCCACTACTGTAGTACAAACAATAATATTCAGCAGGCTTTTTATGGGCTTTTAAATGGCATAACACAAAAGCAATCTATATCTGTTCAAGATAAAGCCTGTAAAATAACCAAACTCATTAGAAACCGGAGTTAGGTCATGTGTAGGAGCATTACCACTAGGTGGGGTCTTTTGCATTTTTCTATTATCACAGTTGCTTGAGAACACCACACAAAACTGTATGTGCACTTGTAAGTCTTGTCATTTTTATTTGGTAGATAGATCACCAAAGCATAGGCTCTCACTCTGATTGACCCATTTTGATGAAACAGTAGGATACAAGAAATAATTACTGTGGTCTCTAATTGCCAAGTTATATTTTGTGACATCAAAACCAAGAAATGAGAAGAGACCCAGTACCATTTGTGAATCCTGTAAATCACACTTCATAGTCACACAGTAAAAGATCTGTATATATTTTAGGATCTGTTCATGTTGCCTTCTCAGGCAAAAATTTTTAATAAATTTTATTACCTGGCCATAGCTGGAGCAAATAATGAAGAACTTCTATGTGTTTTTTGAAGTCCAGAGCAGTAGCAAGCTCTTCTGAATCTGTGAAGACTCTGTTATTGTGGTTGGAGGTCTCCTGCCTCTGGCTCAGTAAGACAGGCCCAAAACACACAGCTAAATTCTGGCATGTCATCTTATTTACTTCATGGTAAGAAGCCACCAGTTTCAGGTGATCCAGCAACATCTTTAGGGTTGCCTAAAATGCAAAGTTTGGTTTCAGGTAACTAGAATCACCAAAACAATCTGTTGTTATCCCATAGCACTGTTGAATAACAGCTATCTCTAAGAGTACTTGTCACATACCTAAAGCTTTTCTATAACACAATCACTGCAGTATCCAAGGTCTGAACATATCGGAATCCATTATAGTGCAGGTTGCGTAAGACAGATGTTTTGGGTAAAAAACTATGTTTCTTACATTACCTCTGACCTATGCATATAGATTTCTTTTTCTTTCTTTCTTTTTAAAAAAAACAAAACAGTGAAGAGAGAACAGAGGGGGAAAAAAATGAAAGAAGCAGGGACACAAAAAGTCAGTCCAACTTGATAAAAAAAATCTGCCTCTATCCAGTTCTCTGACTAGCCTAGTCTGCCTTAAGCAGAAATGACTTATTTTTTAGGCATTCAAAATGCTTAACTTCGGAGGAGTCCTTTTGCAAAAGGGCAGTACCTTTCATTAATTATTAAGGATTAGATTTTACTACCTTTTACTCACATTATCTAGTTCCTTACCCAACTAGTAGTTCAACCAAACAAACTGGGACTAGAAGAATAAAATACTTCTCAACATGTGTTATGGATGCCAAATCTGGTCCTACACCAATTGAGTATTCTTGATTCTGAAGTCCTATGCACCACACCCTTTAGTTAGGAAGGCAACTTCTAGGAATAGTAGGAATACTGAAGAAAAGGGTTATGTTTATTAACGTGAAACCTCATAAACAGCTTGGCTCAGTTTGCCCAGAGACTAGCATCTGTTCAAAATGTTCAAGGCTGTTCCTCTAATCTCTCCATAAGACGACAGATCATCAGAAGAGAAAATGGTACCTCAGACAATACATTGCATAGTCATAGGACTTACTGACCCTCTGAACTGCACACGATAATCTTCTGAAGTTCGAGAGTTGGATGTGCCTGCCAAGGGTCAGGCTTCAGCCCAGGAGTCTCCAGGCTTCAGCCCCACAGACATCCTGTGAGGTTGAAGACTCAAGCCCCCCCAATCATGCCCCACAGGGCTGAACATCCACCACCACCACCCCGCCCCAGAGCAAAGCCCCAAGCACCTCCCACTGCTCCAGTGTGGTAGATGGAGAATGGGGAGAGACTGTTTGTGGCTCATGGACTTTGGTTTGGCCAAGCTTGCCACACGATGTGCAACTCTGAGAAGAATGGCACTAAAATGTTATGTGTTAAACAGCAGGATCAAGAAATTAAGCCACCTTTGAACTACCAGAGAACAGAACAGCTGGACAAACACAGAAGCAGGACCTGCTCCTTTCACAACCTCAAACACTGTCCTCCCCAACGGAGAACAAGCATTAATCTTTGCAGCAGAAATTAGCTGCTGTCTGTGTGATTATTTTATTTATTCCTGAAGCACCCATGCTGAATTCTGGGCCCTTTAAAAGAGAGAAGTGAAAAAAAAAAAAAAACCCACCACGCAGCTGGTAATAAAGTCAATAAAAGTTTCTTAAAAGAACACTAAATCATCTTTTAAATTAAAATAAAATAATTAACACAAGCACATTTGCTGGGTAAAGTTTAAATATTTACTATGTTCTAATTCACTTCAAAACAATTTGCTTGTCCATTTACAGTAAACATTCAACTTAATCAAGGCAGTTCTCATTCTTTAGATTTTTGTTAATAACTTTTAACTTTTGCTCTTGTAAAATCTATTTATGCCAACATTAAAAAAGGGTTAAAGTTGTTGTTTATTGCACTGTTGTTGTTATTAATTATTATTATTAAGTTTAGAAGTTCCTTGGGTAACTACTGGCCAGGATATCAAAGATAACCAAAACTGCTATGGGACTTTAATACAGCTCTTAGTCAGGATCTCCCTTTTAACCATTTTAAAAAAAAGACTCTTATACCATTTTTAGTTCAGTTTTGTACATCAGAAGACATAACCCCTCCCCCCCACACACAAAGTTCATGACAGACACAGCAATACAGATTCTAAAGCTAAAGCCTGCCTGAAAGTGTTATCAGTCAAGTGGGTAGCAGTTACAAACAGAATGTATAAGAACTCACAGGTATTTATTTGTAGCCCATAAGAGTTTCTTCCCATTCAACTGGCCATTTATTGTAGATTTAACTGGCCAATAGTACTCACCTTTTCAACATCTGGCAGACAATCCAGAAGAGCCAGTGTATGTTCAGAGTCACCTGGGTCATTTTCACAACCGCTTGCTGTCATTTTCAATGGATTTTTCACCATGGCATCTAGCACTGCTTCATAGAGCTGCTTAGTTATGAGGGGACAGGGCAGCTCTCTTAAATAATCCTTGAGGACACCTTCACAAAAGACAGAGGAGCAGATGCATTTAACAAAACAACAGACTCTTACAGGGCAGAATTTCTTGGGAGTTGTAAGGCACATAAAACCTCCACCCATCCCAAACAAGAATTCTCCAGGCATGTTTTCCACATCTTACATTTGCAGGGAGGAAAAAACAATATACTGTAATCATATTATTTGGAGAGCTCCCAAAGGCTTGAATTACTGGGAGTATCATTACCCAATGATGGTATTTCATTATCTCATAACATTTTGGGGCTCTGGAAACTTTTCCAAACATGCCTATCGCATGTGCTAAACTTACCTCAGATGCCCTCCAGACCTCCCTCTAGCTTTAGCATAAGTGAGTTTGCTCAACTGTTTGTTTTCTATCTTGTTTCTGTTTCTGTTGCAGGTGATTTCAGTTACTGTGGCAGTTGGGATTGTGTGTCTTGAAGTGTTTGATCTTTTGTTCTCTTGATTACTTTTGATCAGCCTCACTCAGCTTTGGGATCAGCCTCCCCATGTGGCTAATGAGCAGGTAGGCCTGACCTAAGTGAGCAGACCTTAAAAGCCAGAGGCAGAGTCACTAGGGGAGCAAAGCAGACAGGGGAGTTTGAAAGAGGGAGTCCTAATATGATTAGGAAGAGCCACAACACCTGTGCCAGCAGTGCTTCTGTCTCCTTCACCTGTGCCTATAGCCAGACAGACCACCTGACCATGGATGCCTTTACCCAGATCCTAGTGCGGTTTTGCAGGGAATATGGCTTGCAATTCCCACTTACTGAAATCCAGGCTGGGGGGGACCATCCAGTGTGAAAGGTGCTTGCTGGTGGAATCTCTCAAGCAGCAGGTGGGAGAGCTACAGGAAGAGGTGGCTAGGCTGAGGAGCATCTAAATTCATGAATTCCTTGAAAGTATTCATGTGGAGACCACTGAGGCTTACAAAAGACTGCTGACACAGCACTGGCGGAGGAGATAGCTCTGTCTTGGGGGGGGACGCTGGCAGCTGGTCACTGTGGCAGTAGGCATCCTGTTCCCAACCCTCCCACTGTGGTTCTGGAGAATCGTTAAGCTGTTCTGGATATGGGAGATAAAGAATCAGGGTATGTCTACACTTGCACCCCCTTTCGATAGAAGGATGCAAATGAAGACATTTGAAATTGCAAATGAAGCCGGGATTTACATATCCCACACTTCATTTGCATAATCACGTTATGGCACTATTTCGAAATAGCACTACTTTAAAATACAAAACACGGTGTAGATGCAGCTATTTTAGGAGAACACCCTTCTTCTGAAATAACTGTTAAACCTCATTTTATGAGGAATAAGTGTTATTTCAGAAGAGAGGTATTCTCCCAAAATAGCCACATCTACGCCACGTTTGTATTTCGAAATAGCACCCTAACATGATTATGCAAATGAAGTGCAAGATATGTAAATCCCAGTTTCATTTGCAATTTTGAATGTCTTCATTTGCATCCCTCTATCAAAAGAGGGTGAAAGTGCAGACATACCCTCACCCCCTACAGCAGAAGAGAAGAAGCCTCGTAACCCCAAGGCTGAGAGATCTGCAGTCACCACTGCGAGGAGGAAACATAGGGAAGTGGGGGTTGGAAGCTTTCTTCTGAGGGGGACGGAGGCACCCATCTGTCGCCCTGACCTGTCATTTTGGGAGGTATGCTACCTGCAAAAGGCCTGTATCTGAGACGTTACGGAGATATTGTCAAAGATTATCCAGCCTCTGACTACACCCCATGCTACTCATCCATATTGGCACTAACGATACTCCGAGGTGTGACTTTGAGCAGATCAAGGTTGCTATAGGGCTCTGGAGACACAGGTGAAAGAGTATGAAGTGCAGGTGGTATTTTCTTCAGTCCTTCCTGTCAAAGGTAGGGGCCCAGGCAGAGACAGGTGCATCCTGGAGGTGAATGCCTGGCTGCCAAGATGGTGTCACCAAGAGGGCTTTGGCTTCCTTGACCACAGGATGCTGTTCCAAGAAAAAGGACTGGTAAGCAAGGATGGGGTTCACCTTTCGAGGAAAGGGAAGAGAGTATTTGGACACAGACTGGCTAACCTAGTGAGGAGGGCTTTAAACTAGGCTCAACAGGGGCAGGTGACCAAAGCCCACAGGTAAGTGTAAAAGATGGAGACCTGGGAGATGGGTCAGAAATGGGAAGAAGCATGGGCTATAATAGAGTAAAAGGAGGGGTAAGGCAGAACTGGGGGGGGGGGACAAAATCAAATCAGTAGCTTACATGCCTGTATAATAATGCAAGGAGTATAGGAAATAAGCAGGAAGAACTTGAAGTGGTAATAAACAAACACAACTATGCTATGGTTGATATCACAGAGACTTGGTGGGATAATACACATGATTGGAATATTGGTCTAAAAGGCTACAGCTTACTCGGGAAGGATAGGCAGGAGAAAAGGAGGAGGTATTGCCTTATATATTAAAAAATGTATACAGTTGGACTGAGGTGGAAATGGACATAGGAAACAGACATGTTGAGAGTCTCTGGGATAGGTTAAAAGGAGTAAAAAAAACCCCAAGGGTGATGTCTTGCTAGGGGTCTTCTACAAACCACCTACCCAAGTGGAAGAGGTGGATGAGGCTTTTTTTAAAAAACTAACAAAATCATCCAAAGCACAGGATTTGGTGGTGATGGGGGATTTCAACTATCCAGACATATGATGGGAAACTAACATAGCAGGGCACAGACTATCCAATAAGTTATTGGACTGCATTGGAGACAATTTTTTATTTCAGAAGGCTGAGAAATCTATTGGGGGAAACTGTTCTAGATTTGATTTTAACAAATAGGGAGGAACTGGATGAAAACTTGAAAGTGGAAGGCAGCTTGGGTGAAAATGATCACGAAATCAGAGTTCATGATTTTAAAGAATGGTGGAAGGGAGAACAGCAAAATAGAGACAATGGATTTCAGGAAGGCAGATTTTAGTAAACTCAGAGAGCTGGTAGGTAAGGTCGCATGGGAAGCAAGACTAAGAGGAAAAACAACTGAAGAGAGGGGAAAGTTTTTCAGAGAGACATCATTAAGGGCCCAAAAGCAAATTATTCCACTCCGTAGGAAAGATAGGAAGGAGGAAGATAGAAGTCCACTTTGGCTTAACTAGGAGAGCTTACATGATCTAAAAATCAAAAAGGGGTCATATAACAAGTGGAAACTAGGTCAAATTACAAAAGATGAATATAAGCAAACAACACAAGTATGCAGGGGCAAGATTAGAAAGGCAAAGGCACAAAACAAGCTCAGTCTAGCTGGAGACATAAAGGGTAACAAGACGACATTCTACAAATATATTAGAAGCAAGAGGAAGACCAAGGATAGGAGCTTTGCTCAGTGAAGAGGGAGAAATAATAACAGGAAACTTGGAAATGGCAGAGGTACTTAACATTGTCTCAGTTTTTGTCAAGAAGGCAGGATGCCTAACAGTGAATGCTAGTGGAAATGGGGTAGGTTTAAGAGTTAAAATTAAAAAAAAGAACAAGTTAAAACTTACTTCGCAAAGTTAGATGTCTTCAAGTCACCAGGGCCTGATGAAATGCATCCTAGAATACTCGAGAAGCTGACAGAGGAGGTATCTGAGCTTTTAACTATCATCTTTGAGAAGTCATAGAAGTTGGAAGAGATTCCAGAAAACTAGAAAAGGGAAAATATAGTGCCCATCTATAAAAAGGGAAACCAGAAAAAGCCAGGAAACTACAGTTTAACTTCTGTGCCAGGGAAGAAAATGGAGCAACTAATTAAGGAATTCGTCTGTAAAGAATTGGAAGAAAATAAGGTGATAGGTAACAGCCAGCATAAATTTCTAATGAACAAATCATATCAAACCAATCTGATAGCTTTTTTTGATAGGATACCAAATCTTGTGCATAAGAGAGAAGCAGTGGATATGATACCTAGACTTTAGTAAAGTATATGATACAGTCTTACATGACCTTCTTATTAATAAACTAGGGAAATACAACCTAGGTGGATGCATAACTAGCTAGATAACCGTTCTCATAGAGTAGCTATTAATGACTCACAACCATGCTGGAAGGGCATAACAAGTGGGGTTCCGCAGGGGTCTGTTTTGGATCCGGTTCTGTTCAATATCTTCATCAATTATTTAGATCAGTGTTTCTTAAACTTTTTAAGACTGAGGAACACCAAACAATATTTTTTCAAATGAGGAACACCAAGGATTTTTTTTGTTGGGGGGGGGGGAAGGGGTCTGGTGTGGGGGTGAGGGGGAGTTATTGAGAAAAAAATAAAGGTCGCCTGCCCCTGTTCTCCACAGCATACCAGCATTAAGAAACACTGATTTAGATGACGCCATAGAGAATATAATTATTAAGTTTGCAACTGCTTTGGAGGATAGGGTCATAATTCAAAATCATCTGGACAAACTAGAGAAATGGTCTGAGATAAGATGAAATTTAATAAGGACAAATGCAAAGTACTCCACTTGGGAAGGAACAATCAATTTCACACATACAGAATGGGAAGTGACTATCTAGGAAGGAATACTGCAGAAAGGGATCTAGTAGACCACAGTGGACACAAGCTAAATATGAATCAACAATGTGACATTGTGGCAAAAAAAGCAAATATGATTCCGGGATGCACTAACAGGAGTGTTGTGAGCAAGACACAAGAAATCATTCTTCCGCTCCACTCCATGCTGATTAGGCCTCACTTGAAGCATTGTGTAATGTTCTGGGCACCACATTTCAAAAAAAGATGTGGAAAAACTGGAGACGGTCCAAAGAAGAGCACCAAAAATGATTAAATGTCTAGAAAACATGAGCTATAAGGGAAGACTGCAAGAACTGGGCTTGACTAGTTTAGAAAAGAGAAGAGGGGACATGATAGCGATTTGTGAGGGGACATGATAGCGATTTTCAAGTATCTAAAAGGGTGCTGCAAAGAGGAGGAAAAAAATGGTTCTCCTTGGCCTCTGATGATAGGACAAGAAGCAATGGGCTTAAAAATTTTAG